TGTTCCACGGCATGAAGAAGCGGGTCAGACACGCATGAAAATAAATTAGAACACATAATCTTAATGGAAATACAATGAGCACAAAGATATTACATACCGCACATTGACACACCAGATCATGCATGGTCCTGTACTTGTTTGTGTTAACTCTACTTCTTCCATGCCGGATGCCGAATCCGTGCTCCCGTGAATATAAGTTGTAAAAATTATATGCCTCTTGACATGAGTTGAAATCGGTTCCGACCATTGGCTCGAAGATTTCATTGCCTCTACGGTCATTCATTTCGAGCAGACGTCGCTCGATAGCCGTCTTTGTGGACGGAGGCGTCCTCGTGTCAGGGCCATTAGCCCCAATATTTCTGGATATAACATAAACAAATCTGTTATCATTTACAACCTACACATAACATTCCAGCAATATACGTATGATGAATATATAGTGATGTTGACTGATAACATTATCGCGACCGCGATCAGGCAACATCCGAACATCAACATTGAATTTAAATAACCATCCTAGACAGTGGAACGACTATGGTAGGAGGCAAGATTATCGGAAGTCTACTTGACATATTTGTTGTTTTTCAATGTTGGGACGTATGAAACGTCCAGTTCTGAAATAATGGTGTATATATGTATGCAGATATTTACCTTTTCTTCCATCCAGGCACAACTATAACACCTTCAGAGTAATCAGCAGGTACACCTGATTTAAGATCCGAGCGGTGGTCGCATGCATCCGCGCCCCTCAATGTGGCTGGAGGCGTTACTACCCCCAAGTGCGCGCTGAACAGTTGATATCAGTTATCTATGGGGACATGCATGAACTTAACACTGCGATTTCTGCATCCGACATACTGAAAAAAGATAAACTTACTTGGAGTATGGTGTTTCGTCTGGGACATGCACAATATCTTTGATGCTTGGCCGCGACGATATTTCCGCCGTCGACTCCCCTCCGTCGATCTGCATGACCGCCAAGAACGGTTCGCCGGCGGCGGGGTTGGATCTATGCTCCGGCGCAGAATCAAGGAGGAAAGGGGATTCAGAATCTCATTTGGGGAAGATTACAAGAAATCGATTATTCCCCGGACGAGCGTTGCAGAAACTACAGCAGTATCCGGTCTCGATAGGTACCTACAGCCGGCCGGCAGAGAGGTCCTCGAGTGCGGCGAGCACCGGCGCCATTGAATCGCCCCTGTGCACCAGATCCATTAGAGCGATAAGTCAAAAGACTGAGCAGTGCGCTGTACAGGTCCGCGTCTGTATGGAGGGGGGCGGGTGGAAGACAAAAAATATCAGAGGCTACCGGATACCTGTTACCCTACGACGGCAGGAACCGTGACAGATGCCTGACACGCTAATACGTGCTCTAAAACGCTATCCCGCGTCGGCCATCTCGAGGTAAATCGCAACATTTCAACCGCCACGATAACGCGGCCCCGGTGCAGGTGTGCGAAAAATCCGCGTCCGCGCATCTCCCCCACCCCGCTTGTCCCAAACCTCACGGCAATAAGAGTTCCCACCGCGATCTGGGACACCAGCATCTGCGCGCCACCCTGTATGAACAGCTTGCGCCGCCCCAGCCTATCGACGGCGAACATCGACACCACCGACCCGAGCACGAGGACGCTGCCGGTCATCACCGACGAGAGGAGCGACGCGTCTCCCTTGAAACCCAGGGTCTCAAACAGCACGGGCGCGTAGAAGTTGATGACATTGATGCCGGTGACCTGCTGGAAGAAGGGGATGAGCACGGCCATGGTGAGCTGCGCACGGTACATGTGCTGCAGGATATTGCGCCACGGATGTTGTACTAGCTTTGATACTTCCCTCGCCGCCACCAGGTCCGCGTACTCCTCGTTGATGTTGTCGGTGCCACGGATATGGCGTAGCATCCGACGGGACGCCTCCGGGTGGCCTCGCTCCATCAGTGAGTTAGGGGTGTCAGGGAGTAAGAGTGAGCCGACGGTGAAGATGACTGCAGGCACAGCCGCGAGTGCCTAGCTGACGCGCCAACCGTGGCCTCCTTTGATCTTGTTAGTGCCATAGTTTATGAGGGCCGCTGCCAGGATGCCGATGTTGAGCATGAGCTGGAAACCGATGTTGAGCATGCCACGGAGATGCGCCGGTGCCATCTCCGACAAGTACACCGGCAGAGACTGCATCCATGCATACCAATATAATCATTCAATTAAATTAGCTGGTGTGCTTGATTTCCCCCTATTTAGATCACAATATGAGATAGACGTTGACTATATTTTTACATAGGCCAACACATTTCTCGTTCGTAGAGAGTGATTCTAATTTCACCCAAGAACATGATGTATAGTTAGTCAAGACATCAAGGATGCACATAGAACAAAAAGAGACGACCCAGAAAAATCATGCTGAAAACAAACGACAACGCACAACAACATAAAACAACACTGACCACCACATTTGAAAGTACAAGAACCGTGAGAGGTTCTTCCACAGCAGTACCTCCAGAAGACGAATATACACACATGCCAACATCTTCAACTTTGCATTAATATTTTTCATGCGAGCCATGCCACCTCACCATGTCATGCAAGTATTTTTAGGGGTATCAAGTTATGCATGTGAGTCACAATTTATTATTTTTTCTTTGATTATTGTATGGTCATGAACGGCATCTGTGTTGGACCTCGGAGCAAAAACGAGATAATTCATTGCTCACATTTTTTTAAAGATGACATCATGTTAAGTTCTGTTTCAATGATTCTCTTTTGATACATCACCTTCTGATGCACTTATTCTGTTGCTTTTGAAATGTGTACCGAGAATACTTTTACATTTTTATTTCCATTAGGTTTAACTAGTCATCAAACCTGTGCACCTGCACGGGTTAGTAATTTTTTATTTAAATGTAGGGGCATTTGGGATGCTATTCGATCATTGTAGAAGTATTTATTTTCTGATTTGCTATACGAAAAAAATTGAGTTAAACCACTCCATCCCCTTGTGAATGTACTGTTTGCATGCATATCCTTTCCAACCATCAATTGTGTCACACTTATGTGGGTGATATTCTTGTTGTGTGACGCCATCGCCCGGGGAAGTTTGGTTTTATAATAGTTGTAACACCGTTCCAGTTTTATAAAGGTTGCCTCCGTATTGGTGGCTATAGTGTTGCAAATACAAAATTCGGTGGATGTATCATTTCTTGCCCTTTTCCCCAAAAATTATGATGAAGTTTGGTGTTATGGTTTGAAGACTTTCAGCATGCCGTCGGTAAAAAAATTACCTTTATTATATCATATTGTTTTTGAGATCATATTTACATAAAATACGCACGCAAAATGTTTTATTCAGGAGTACATGAGGTAATTCATTTCACTCATGATACATACTGAATCCATGCACTGTTTTCTGTCCGGACAGATGTGATACTGAGCCAATTTATATTACATGAAATGCAACTGTAATAATTTTTTCTTAGTTTTTTCTCTTAAACTACATCAGATAGATAATATGATTTTAATTTCTTCTACAAATATGTGATACTCGAGCCACATATATGATACTGAGCAGATCCTAGCAACAATATCTGCGTCAATAGATATTGTTGTATTGTTTTCTTAGTTCTTTCTGTTACGCAACATCAGATTATATTTATTTTTCTAACGGCTGACAGACATAAGGCTTACTTTTATTACCTTATGTCAGTATATTGGCATGGAGATTTTAGGATATAATCATTATTAATATTTATTTCTCCTAATTCAGAAAAAATAGAGAAAATTGTGTAGTTATCACACCTTCCATCAAAGTATCAGAAAATTTGACACATGTATCCAATCATCTGAACTACCACAAATCTGGAGCACACATTTTTTTTCTTCTGAAAAGAAGGTTATCCCCCGGCTTCTGCATCGGAGTGATGCATGCGGCCATCTTATTAATAAGCAAAGTTCAACAACGTTTCTAAGTCCCGAATAACAAAAAGGCTCACAAAGAGCAAAAGCATGAATATGAGATAGCCACAACCGGAGGAACGATGAAGCTGGCTTGTGCAGTTAGACCAAAGAATATACTGGTGTTGTTGGCCTGCTGCCGGCCAGTAGCCCAGTACCCCCGTCATCTCGTGGCATCGACCTCTTAAGCACTTCACCTCATCTATTGGATGGTCATGAATTCACTAGCGTTTAAAAGTCATGGTTTTTTAAAAACACACGACTGCTGGTGCGTACAGCAAGATCCGATTACATGGCTGCGACGTTGGATGTCAGAAAGATCGATTGGTGATGCCGCACGTGGAGGGTGTTGACGACAGGAGGCAATTTGTCCTCCAGCGGATTAGATGTACAGGGCGGCTTGTTGAGGACAGGAATTAATTAGTAGCTGCAGTGAGGATTAGATGTATTTAATCCTGTATTTCCATTTTTTTATTACCGAGGGAGATGGAAAGAGATTAGAGTCCCCGCGTCCACATAGAAAAGTTATTAGAGTCCTCCTCTCTCACGTGGGTGGAAGCGGCCATGTAGGGCACATCATCGGATTGTTATTTTTTCATCATTAGTTAATCCTATGGATGGAATTTCCTAACCTCTAGATTTAACGTGGAGCCTCATATGGTGTGCCTCGTATGGTGCTTTCAATTAGTAAATATAAGATAAGATTGTTTTAAACAACTACTTTTTATGTATTTATTTTCACACGATTCCTACATCAATGCACGATGCATACATCATCTAGTTAATTAATAATAATTAAGATACAAACCACCTAGTGATGTGGCAAACAACAAAGCAGTCAAACCTGTTGGAAATTTCTTGGTTGCACTTGGGAGACATATATTTGCATACGGCGGCATTTTGATGTGACCTTGAGGGCGACATATATTTGCATAAGGGATTGCGATGTTAACTTGAGGGTGACATATACACAACTGAAATAGCTAAATGAATCAGCCTGTTTTGAATTTTCGGGATCCACACACATCTCATGTCATGGGCTCATGACAACATATACAAGAATCAACGTAGTGAACAGTCTCGTACCTGATTGGTGAACCCGATGCCGATGCCAAGCAGAATGTGTCCAACGATGAGCATCGCGAGGTTCTGGGCGGCGCCATTCAGGGCGGCTCCCACAAGGAAGGTGAAGCCGCTGGCTAACATGGACCACTTGCGGCCGAGGATGCGGGTGCCAGCAGACGCGAAGAAGGAGGTGACGAGGGCGGCGAGGTAGAGTGAGGAGGTGAAGGCCTGCAGCAGCTGGTTGTCGTACTGGCAATACTGGTTGGTCTTGCTCGCAGCCTGCTTCTGCCGGTACACCTCTGGGAAAAACTTTAAGAGGAAGGGGTCCATGGATGTTACGCCACCTGAGATGCCGATATCGTACCCAAAAATGAGGCCGCCGGTGGAGGCAACGACGCAGGCGAAGACGACATACAGGGTAAGCTTGCCAGGGTATTGCTTTCCGGTGGCCGTGTTCACAATGGCGCCGCCACCAGATACAACTGAGCCCCCGCGTCGCCCTTCCTGGCGACACGGGGGAAACCCTAGATCGAGCGCCCGCAACCCCCCTTCTTCCTCCCCCACGGCTCGCCGCCACCGGAGGAGCGGCCGGCGAAGTCCGCACCGGCTCCAGGGAAGGTGGCAGCGGGGCCCTTTTTCGTTCAACCAGCTAGCAAGGCGCGCGGCGAGAGGCTGCTGCAACGGCAGCGTGGGGCAGGGCCATGGCGGCGCGAGGCCCGCGTGCTCGCGAGGAGGCCCTGGCCGGCGCGCCGTGGCGCGAGATCCGCGCGGCTAGAGGCTCTGTGGCGGCAAGATGGGCGCGGACGGCGCCCCCAGCGCGGATCTGCTGGGTGGCCGCCTTGGGGGCTCCTGGGTCTGCGATGGCGCGAGATCTGCGCAGCAAGAGGCGCCAGGAGGTCGCGGTGGGTTCGCGGAGTGTGGAGGCCAGGTGTCAGGCCTGTGAGGGACCCGCAGTTGCCGGAGCTGATCCGGTTTCCGGCAGGCCTGCGACGTCTGGATGGTGGAGGTGGTGCCGGCGGAGGTTGGTGGGCTCCTCCCTTCGAGCGTGCTCATGTCCGGCTCCTGGAGCAGGGGCGCCGTCAAGCCTGGTGCATGACGAGTCTCAAGCAAACCAGATCCAACACGGACGTCCGGTCCTTGCGCGCGGCGGTGCGGCCCCGTTGCTTTTGGCTTGGTTTCGCCCTGTTCCGGCGCGCGGCGGCGCGGGTCGGTCTGTTTTGGTCGGGCATTTGTTTTCCTGTTGCGCTGTGGTGTGATCTCTCGCCCAGATCTGCGCATGGAGGCAGAGGACGGCCATAATCGACTTGGTTCGCCCAGGTCCTGCGTGCGGCGGTGTGGACTGGTCAGGGTGGCGTGAGCTCGCTGGGATTCTGCGTGCGGCGGTGACAATATTCGTGCTTGGTAGTGTGCTTGGTCTTGCTCTGCCCAGTGGCGCTTGGTTGGTCTCGGATCCTAGATGGCTGGTAGAAGACTCGGCTCCGGATGAAAATCCTGCATTGACTCTGTCGATGCCAACGGTAACAGCATCATTAGATGTCGTCTTCTTCCTTCGAGGTATCGTTGTGGAGGTTGTTGCTCTTCCTACCCCATGGCTGAGGTCTCCGGGCGAAAGCCTAAGATCTGGCTCAGTCAGATCGGGTGATGATGATGTCCTCAACATCATTTCCTCCTTGGAGGCGTCATCTTGGAGACCTCGATGATGGATTCCGATGGTGTGCATGGTTGCTGGAGGAGCTTGGATTTGTGGTGGTGCCGGCAAGATCTTTTTTGATTCTTTTCTTCTTGCACTAGCCTTTTTGCTGTGCTTTCCTCCTTTGAAGAGGTTCTTGTAACATCTTCTTCTGATCAATGAATTTGATAGATCAACTACCAACATTCAAAAAAAAAAAAAAAAACAATGGCGCCGCCGGCCGTAGCTGTCTGATCACAGCTACGGATGGACGAATACTAAGTTACTGACTACGAGCTTCCCGAAGTTGAATATATAATGCCGGGCTTCCGTCAGGCCACCGAGGAGCGGAGCTTAACTCAGTCTGTTGTCTGCTTATTCCACAGACGAAGTCAGAAAAAATGGATATTTGTCTTTGTTTATATACTCATTTTATATAGGCTACAACGTGTATGGTTGCGCATAATTAGAGCTACAGAAACTGAAGGGTTATAGGTGTTTTTTTTTTGAGTTGTTTGGATTGTTTACCACATATGTCTCGTGATGGTTACAGGTGTTTCTCTTTGCAATAGTTGGCAAAGCAAATTGTCAGGAGTATGTACTTAGTGTTCCCACCAAGATAAACCACTGATTTGATTTCACAATGTCGGTGTCTGGTACGTGAAGCAAACAAATAACGAATGGAGGAATAAGCTAAATGAAGCCGCATCGTCCTTCCTTTCCGGCGCCGGCCCTTTATTTATATATTGGTGCAACACAAGTCAAGAAAAAGTCTGATTGGCACCGTGTCTCGGCCGGCATCATGCTCTCCAGAGGGTGCGGTCAGGAGCTACCGTACCTTGATACACCTAGGACCTCTCACTAGTAGAAAACAGGGCTTTGATTAGAGTCTGCCAAGCCTATTAGTCCCGGTTCAGTCAAGAACCGGGACCCATGAGGACATACGTCCCGGTTCATGCGTCCAGAGGCCCGGCCGATCCTCGGGAGGCATTTGTCCCGGTTTATGTGGACCCATTTGTTTCAATTCTAGGCACGAACCGGGATCAATGTACCTCGCTTCTGACCCACAGCCATTGGTCCCGGTTAGTGCCTAGAACCGGGACAGAAGGCGGGCCTTTAGTCTCGGTTCCAGCCACGAACCGGGACAAATGAGTTGCCTATATACCCCCTCGCCGACGAGCAGAGCACTCCACACTGCTCTGTTTTTTTGACCGGCGAGAGGAGGGCATTTGGGTGCTCTAGCTCACCTCCAATGCACATGAGGTGTTCGATGAAATGTTTGAGCCACGCTAGTTATGTTTTCTCCTCTCGAAGCTGGACCTCCTCCATTTCCCCAAGATTTGCATAGGTTTAGCGGTCCGTCACGTCCCGTCCCCGTCTTCACCGCCGTCGATCGCCCGCGCTGATCTCGTCGCCGACACCACCGTGGTGAGCCTCTTGTTCTTATCTTCTTTCTGAAAGAAAAACAATTCTTACTTTAGATAGATACTTGTCTAATTTTCTTACTTTTAACACACATAATTACATATAAAGCCCGCAGATGAACCGGCAATGGATGTACGGTGACATACACACCTACGAGTACATTAAGGGCCTGCATAATTTTCTCGAAGTGGCTGAGGCAAACAAACAGAATGGTTTTATGTGTTGTCCATGCCCTATATATGGGAATACGAAGTCTTACTCTAACCGGAAAATCCTTCACACCCACCTGCTTTATAAGGGTTTCATGCCACACTATAATGTTTGGACGAAGCATGGAGAAATAAGGGTTATGATAGAAGATAGCGAAGAAGAAGAGGACGATGACAACTATGTGCCCTCTGAATACCGTGATGCTGCAACGGGGGAAGCTGCTGAAGATCAAGATGAACCAGACGATGTGCCCGATAATAATGATCTCCACCGGGTCATTATTGATGCAAGGACATAGTCCAAAAGTCAAAAGAAGAAGTTGAAGTTTGATCGCATGTTAGAGGATCACAAAAAAGGGTTGTACCCCAATTGCGATGATGGCAACACAAAGCTCGGTACCATACTGGAATTGCTGTAGTGGAAGGCAGAGAATGCTGTGCCTGAGAAAGGATTTGAGAAGCTACTGAAAATATTGAAGAAGAAGCTTTCAAAGGATAACGAATTGTCCGACAGTACGTACGCAACAAAGAAGGTCGTATGCCCTATAGAATTGGAGGTGCAGAAGATACATGCGTGCCCTAATGACTGCATCCTCTACCGCGGTGCGTACGAGGATTTGAACGCATGCCCGGTATGTGGTGCATTGCGGTATAAGATCAGACGAGATGACCCTGGTGATGTTGACGGCGAGCCCCCCAGGAAGAGGGTTCCTGCGAAGGTGATGTGATATGCTCCTATAATACCACGGTTGAAACGTCTATTCAGAAACGAAGAGCATGCCAAGTTGATGCGATGGAACAGAGAGGGCCGTAAGAAAGACGGGAAGTTGAGAGCACCCGCTGACGAGTCGCAGTGGAGAAAAATCGAGAGAAAGTACTGGGCTGAGTTTGCAGGTGACCCAAGGAACGTATGGTTTGGTTTAAGCTCGGATGGCATTAATCCTTTCGGGGAGCAGAGAAGCAATCACAGCACCTAGCCCGTGACTCTATGTATGTATAACCTTCCTCCTTGGATGTGCATGAAGTGGAAGTTCATTATGATGCCAATTCTCATCCAAGGCCATAAGCAACCCGGCAACGACATTGACATGTACCTAAGGCCATTAGTTGAAGAACTTTTACAGCCGTGGAATGAAAACGATGTACGTGTGTGGGATGAGCACAAACAGGAGGAATTTAACCTGCACGTGTTGCTGTTTGTAACCATCAACGATTAGCCCGCCCTCAGTAACCTTTTAGGACAGACAAACAAGGGATACCACGCATGCACGCACTGTTTAGCTGACACCGAAAGTGTATACCTGGACAAATGCAGGAAGAATGTGTACCTGGGCCATCGTCGATTTCTTCCGACCAACCATCAATGTCGAAAGAAAGCCAAGCATTTCAAAGGCGACGAATATCACCGGAAGAAGCCCTTCATGCGTACTAGTGATCACATACTTTCTATGGTCAATGATTTACACGTAATCTTCGGAAAGGGTCCCAGCGGACTAGCTGTTCCGAATAACGCTGAGGGACGTGCACCCATGTGAAAGAAGAAATCTATATTTTGGTACCTACCCTACTTGAAAGTCCTAGAGGTCCGCTCTTCAATCAACGTGATGCACGTGACGAAGAACCTTTGCGTGAATCTGCTAAGCTTCTTGGATGTGTATGGGAAGACAAAAGATACACCCGAGGCACGGGAGGACCTGCAACGTTTGCACCAAAAATATGGCATGCCTCCAAAGCAGTATGATGGTCCTGCCAGCTACGCTCTTACCAAAGAAGAGAAGGAAATCTTCTTTCAATGCCTGCTCAGTATGAAGGTCCTGACTGGCTTCTCGTCGAATATAAAGGAAATAATAAATATGCCGGAGGAAAAGTTCCAGAACCTAAAGTCTCATGACTGCCAGGTGATTGTGACGCAACTGCTTCCGGTTGCATTGAGGGGGCTTCTACTAGAAAACATCCGATTAGCCATTGTGAAGCTATGTGCATTCCTCAATGCAATCTCTCAGAAGGTGATCGATCCAGAAATCATA